TTTCAATGGATTAAAAAGAAAATTATGGAAGGTAGAAATAATTTCTAATTCATATATTGTATATCATTATTTTAAAAATATGCTGCAATTGTCATTATTTTACATTTTTCAAATGTATATTTTATATTAATTATACAGCTTTCAAGTCAGGGTCAGGATATACAATTCACTGCAAACCATCAAACTTTCACCACCTCTCACATTATGCATGTCCCTGACTTTGTTTCCCATGTAAGTTGCAACTTATATTACATCCTTTTCCTTCTAAAAATCAAGAAATATTTATATACATCTCTGTTTCATTGGGATGGAGATGTTGCTTGGGGCCATCTATGTCGTTAGTCGTTACTAAGGTTGATGGTGGTCGTAACGAGCGTGCTGAAACATCCACTGCAAGAACATCTCTAAGTGGTGTCGCCATCAAGAAACCGTAGGGATCTAAGTCTTTAAAGGTGGCCAAGAAGCGATGTAAGGAATATGTGAAGAACCAATGATTATGTAATAACGTTGGTTTTTATTTTAAACCATGTCCCATATGGAGTTTGGTATGTTTTAAAAAAAAATCTAAAACTATAATAGAAATGCTTTTGAGTTTATCATCATTCTGACAACTCATTATATTTAACCGTATATGTTTACTTGCTTATCGCATATTTATTCTTTTGTTCAGATATTATCTTACTCTTTTTCTAAACTAAAAACAATAATTGGTATCTTAAGCTGTAAGAACTTACATTGCATTCTGCGCTTACTCTTTTTCTGAACTAAAAACAGTAATTGGTATCTTAAGCTGTAAGAATTTACATTGCATTTTGCGCTACACCCAGACCGGCCGTTGTATATTATAAAACCAAGCATTTGAAACTAAAATAAATATTAAAAATATAATGCCATTTATCAAAGAACGGTGAAGATTACTCTTATTTTAATTGTAAACAAAAATATTGTTATTGTGATCACATATTTCTTTCATTATTTGTTTATTTATAATATTATTTTAATCTATAATAATTTTTAAATATTTCATAAATTAATATAAAATAGTTTTGATTATAACTTCCCGCCCGTAGGGCGGGCCGACCCTAGTTCTCATATAAGCAAAGTTTGGCAGCGAAACATTATTTTATCTGTAATATTTTTGTAATGCTGCAAATGCATATGGAAGTATGAAATTGCGAATGTCTAAATAGTAGCTGGCTACTACATCAACTTCAGTCACCCATATACACACTACTTAATCTTCTGATTATATAATTTTAAAATGATAGTTCCAGTTATTTATTTATTTATTTTGTCTGTATAAGGAAATTAGTTAATCAAAATGAAATAGTGCTAGGAGAACTACAAAATGATTTAGAAACAAACATTTTATTAGGGAAGAGTGTGTAAGGGAAGGATGATGATTAAGTTTTTTTTATAAGGTTATCTGATATCGTGCAAAAAGATAGTCTTACTTCTATAATCAAATATCACTCAGTCCTCCACTATATCATTCGTCGATTTCTCCATAGTCATCAAGTATATAATGCAATTAGTACTAATAAATGGAGGAGTTGTGAATACAAAACAATGCCCGTGAAGTGGTGCATGTGATTGCCAAAATAGATGTTAACAATCAGTGCCCCCCCTTGATAACATATAGACCACTCACGAGTCTCTTACTTATTATATTTTCATATATATATGTATGTGTTATAAATTAAATTATTACTAATGAGACAAAATATTCCTCAACAAACTTTTAATTATTCTCCATTTTCTTCATATAAATCTATTTTTAAATTTTGATTATCCACTTGTAATTCTTATATTATTCATCGCGTTTCTTTTTTCTTAAAAACTTATTTTATTGATTTCAGATTGAATATATCGTTACTTACTGGTTTTTTAAAAAAACTTATATGTTCAACTCTAGGTGTTCTTGATAATGACTGCAATATCTTTTTCTTTTAATGAATGTTAAATTATATTCAAAACAAAAAAAAAACAACTGTTTTTTGAATGACTGCAATATCGTTTACAAAATCTTTTTTTCGATTACAAATCATATTCGTATGTATTTAGAAAAAAACATTAAATTTTTAGTACATGGTCTCCTGGACTCGTAAACCTCCGGTAAATGTTAAAAACATACGACACACTCTATCTTCCCAATACTAGTACGACATATCCAACACATGCTTCAATGCTTGTTTCGATCTAATTGTATATATCCCATTAATAAACATAAAGCAAAATCCTAAAACTGAATACCTCACTTTAATTATCCCCACTTCATGGGGGCATATGTAGTCAAGGCATATGTAGTCAACATGCAATTCAGGTTTTGTGCGTTTTGAACTTTTTACCCACGGTGAAAAAGAATCACTGGTACAGTTATACTTTTGGCATATTTCTACTCAAAACTTCTATATAATTCACTAGTAACTTTTACATCACTGTCAATATCATCTATATTTTACAAAAATCCAACTAAAAGCGTACATTATGGTCTTACTATCGTATATAGGTAACTTACACATAGCAAGTTTAGACTTATTCATTTATTTATAATTTTTTTAAAAATAAGTTTGTCAATCACAATATGGAAAATAAAGGACTATTGATTCCATTTTCACTAACAGACTGAAAATAAAATTCCATTTTAAAAAACCCGTGAGCCTCTCTACATTATTCTTGGTCTGCTTCCTTATTTAAACCCCTTCAAAAACGTTATCTTTCTTCAACTTAAAAGAAACCAAAGTCTCTTATTCTCAACCACCACAAAACAGTCTTAGTTTAGACAGAAAAAACCAAATTATGATAATGAGAAAATGTCTAAGGCTGAGAAGCATCACGATGATGATGCTAGTGGCGGTTTTGGTCTGGCCTGTAACACTAGAGACCTGCATTGCTAGAAGAGGAAGACACTGGAGACATAACAACCGAAGATCCTCTGACTTGTCTAATTCCTTGTCAAGCAAGAAACCAAAAAGCCCTGGGAACAGTCACCACAAGTCTAAACCTAAACTGAAGCCAAAAGTGATAATACCGCCAAAAGTTGACGAGAATAACTCTCCGGTGGTTTCACGACTACCAAAAGTCAAACCACCGTCTCTTCTCCCGCTAAATGAATCTCAGGTCTTCAATGTGATGGACTTTGGAGCAAAGGGTGATGGCAAATGTGATGACACTAAGGTAAAAAAATAAAATAAAAAAGCTCATTAATACCATTATCCGTACAGTTTTCAATCCTAGTGGTAGTATTACATTTAATTAGAACATTTTTATATCTTTTTCATGAGAATTAGAAAAAAAAGACAAGTTACAGTTGAGAGATCACTGAGACAGAACAAGAAAAAAATAGTGCTAAAAAGTTTCTGTGTCTGTAAAGTAAAGTCACGTTTTAAATTTTTTTTTTTTTCATTTAAATGTTAACTTGGGCCAAAAGAAAAAAGACAAACTAATATAAAGTGACAACATAAAAACAGATTACAAATGGTACCAAACCTTAACAACCATTATTATAATTGTGATTAGGGTAATTAACAGAGTTTCATAATGTTTTGTAAGGCGTTTGAAGCGGCTTGGGCAGCTGCTTGCAAAGTGGAAGCATCAATGATGATCATACCATCTGAATACACTTTCCTTGTTGGTCCAATCTCATTCTCTGGTCCTTATTGTCAACCAAACATTGTGTTTCAGGTGAGCATTGATTTTTTAAATATATAAAAAATGTCTCTCTTTTAGTTAAAAAAAGCTCTAAAACGTTTTGTGCGGTTGCAGCTTGATGGTACTATTATAGCTCCAACTGATTCAAAGTCATGGGGAAAAGGGTTAATGTGGTGGATTGATTTCACAAAGCTGATAGGAATCAAAGTACAAGGGAAAGGTGTGATTGATGGAAGAGGCTCTGATTGGTGGCAACAAGATTACCCTTTCATTGATGGTGAAACCAAACTCATCATTCCCTTGAACAACTCTGTTCACAATACCCCTCCAAGAAGTGAGTTTGATTTGAAAATGCAAAGCATTAAACCAACGGTGAGTAACAAATACAAAAGAGTTTTGGGATTGTGAAACTGTTGTTTACTGATTTGTGTATATAGGCACTAAGATTCTATGGGAGTATTGGTGTGGAAGTGTCTGGTATAACGATCCAAAACAGTCCTCAGTGTCACCTCAAATTCGATAACTGTGGAAACGTTGTGGTACATGACATGACCGTTTCTTCACCTGAAGACAGTCCAAACACTGATGGGATTCACCTGCAGAACACTAGAGATGTCCTCATTCACAGCACGACACTCTCTTGCGGTAATGAATCTTGTATCCTCATGAGTTCTTGAATCTTGAATAATGTCTCATCTCTTGGTGTGTGTGTGTTTGTTTGCAGGAGATGATTGCATCTCTATCCAAACTGGTTGCTCTAACGTATACATACACAACGTGAACTGTGGACCTGGCCATGGTATCAGCATTGGTAGTCTTGGTAAAGACAGCACAAAAGCATGCGTCTCCAACATAACAGTACGAGACGTGGCGATGCACGACACAATGACAGGGGTCAGGATCAAGACATGGCAAGGAGGAGTAGGATCAGTGAAAGGGATACTCTTCTCAAACATTCAACTCAACCAAGTCCAGTTTCCAATAGTAATAGACCAATTCTACTGTGACCACACCACATGTAAGAACCAGACATCCGCAGTTTCAGTTGAAGGAGTGACTTACGAGAGGATCAAGGGGACTTATACTGTTAAACCGGTTCATTTCGCCTGCAGTGATAACTTCCCTTGTGTAGATGTGCAGTTATCTGCAATAGAGCTTAGGCCGGTTCAAGAAAAGTATCATCTGTATGATCCTTTTTGCTGGCAGACGTTTGGTGAGCTCAACAGTCCTACTCTTCCTCCTATTGATTGTTTGCAGATTGGGAAGCCAGCAAGAAACAGAGTTCAATCTGACCATGATTCTTGTTGAATGGTTCTTGCAAGTAATAGTATGAGACATGTAGATGAATACTACTGAAACATTGATATTAATAATAATCCAAAAGATGAAACTAATCATCAACATTGTGTTAAAGTCTTTAAAACCACACAAACACATTAAACGTTAGCTAAGAGAGAAACTGTCACAAACACCTAAAGTGATCAAAGTTGTCTTTAAGGATAAGAAGAAAGCAAGACACTTAAACACATTTCATTCATCAGTCAGTCATGATCTCCTTCTCGGAGACAACAAGGTGATACTCGGTTGGGTTGATGAACTTGAAGGTACAAATGTCATCGACTGATAAAGGGAACTCTCTTGCCAATACAGCCCATCCACTAGCAAACCTTGACCATGTCTCCTTCTTCAAGCAAATCATCATCCATGAACGGTTCCCATTGGAGTCATGGATGGTGACCACCTCATCCTCATAGCGGATATGTTTCTCAGCAAAATGTTTTGGGATTGGCTGCAAAAATATCATCAGAGATTCACATATTAGAGACTGTGTGGAATACTGTTTTTTGTGTGTTTGGTTTTAGTCTTACCAGGTAGCAGAGGTATGACTTCGTTATGGTGATGTTGAATTCTGGAACAGTATGCTCAACGTTATTCTTCATCTTCTTCTTCTTCTTGGATGTTCCGCCTCCTTCAAATCTCCTGCTCCTGACTCCTCCTGTCTTCTCAGCCTTCCTGCTCTCCCTTACTTCTTTCTTGACCCCACCTGTTTTTTTCACATCATCAAACTCAAGAATCAGTACTCTTCTCAGTTTCCTTTTATTTCATAAAGCTACTAAACTTACTTAAAGAAGCAATTGTCCGGTCCCTCCTTCTCCTAGGTGTGACAACCTCCTTGCCACTCTCATCGTAGATGTTGACATTGAAGCACATTAGTCCTGTGTGAGTGAAGGCAACAAGCTCTTTATCTCCCAAGGCATTGTCGTTCACGAACTGGTTCCATCCACGCTTCTCCATGTAGTGGAATCTTGGGTTCATTGAGACTTTTACTTCCCATGAGATTCCCCATTGCGTCCTTATCACCATGTTAGTTGAGTAGTCGTTTTCAGGGACGTTTCTTATAAAGTCGTAAGGAAATGCTCTCTGAACATACAATGGATAATGTAAAAAACAATATTAATTAAGTTCAATCTTCACCACTAATCATCAAGTGGGTCTAGTCACAAAAAAAGATACCAAGACTCAACCTTTATGTTCAGAAACAGAACAGAGTGAACTAATATAAAGACAAAGATTCAACCTTTTTATTAAACTCAGATAACTAAAAGATTCTTAGTCTACCTTTCATACAAAGCTAACAAGATTTCAACTTTTTCAAACAGAGAAAACCTAACACATTCAACCTAAATCTATCACAAAAGAAAAAGATTTAACCTTTCATAAACAGAGGACCAACAGATTTAACCTTGCAAAGACAATCAAAAGATGAAACCCTTTTAACTTGAAACCCATTAAACACACCAAAACAAACAAAAAGCTTCCACCTTTGAAACAGAGCTATCAAGAAAATTACAAACTGAGGGATATAAGATTTAACGTATTCATACACACAGAAAGTAAAGATTTAACCTTTCAAAGACCACTAAAAGATCAAACAAACCTTTTAACTTTAAACCCATTAAACACATCAAAACAAACAAAAAAGATTACACCTTTCTAAACGAAGGTAACAAGAAAATCATAAAATTAAGGAAGTGGTGAGGTTTAGTAAAGAAAATTACCATGCTTTCAGAGGATAAGTCTTCACCCTGAAAAATCTTCAAGAAGCTCAAGTTCTCAACATCTACTTCACCCTGACCCAAACCACTGCTGCTACCTATCTCTCTCTCCTTAGGAAACATCATCTTCAAGCTCTCACCAGTAACCTCCTCCACTCTCTATTTTCTACTTCCTTTGTCTCTCTCTCACTCTCTCTGGTTCTGTAAATGAGCTAAAGTGTGTCTCTTACTTCTGTTTCAAAGTATTTGTGCCTTTTTCATGTGTATTTATTAATGATTTACGGAAACATTATTATGTTTTCAAGCATTTTCTTATCTGAAGTAAAAGAGCGCATTCATTACATTGGTGTGATCCACAAAGGTGATCTCATCTTTTGTAATTTGTACCCTCAGTTATTACTTTTCAGAATTTACAGAAACAAGTTTTCAACTTTGACCTTTGTGGGCCATATCTTACATTTGCTCTTAATTCGATACCGCAACATACTTATTTGTTTATAAAACATACTTATTTGTCATTTCGATCATAGATATACAGAAAGATGAGGTAGAAGTTGAATCAAAGATTGATTGAGGGACATGATTTGCACTGTGAAAATATAAAGGGATATTTTAAGCATTATTTGGGGTATTTTTCATAATATACTATATTATGAGGGTGTTCCTTTCAGAATAAGCTTCATGTTCAGAGTAATATAGTGTTGGTGGGGAATGCTTTATGGTCAACATGGGGAAAGGATACAGATCAGCTTCATTGACAATGTTTATGNTTGAGGGACATGATTTGCACTGTGAAAATATAAAGGGATATTTTAAGCATTATTTGGGGTATTTTTCATAATATACTATATTATGAGGGTGTTCCTTTCAGAATAAGCTTCATGTTCAGAGTAATATAGTGTTGGTGGGGAATGCTTTATGGTCAACATGGGGAAAGGATACAGATCAGCTTCATTGACAATGTTTATGAGACATCCGTAATGTGTAGATTCTAATCAGCCATTACTACACATTTGATGAGGTGGCTCTGAAAAAATAGCTTGCCAACCCACAAGGAAAAATTTTAGATTCTATTTGTTACTAGCCAAGTAACTGATCACTCAGCTTTTGACCGTTTAACCACATTGCAAGTGCGCATCAAATCAAAGTAGTTTGGAAAGGATTGAATCTATATAGACCAGATACATATTTCAATTCTCAGTTCAGATCAAGCTAGAAAACACTTTAACTGTTGTTTTTCCAAAGCAAACTAAATAAAATTAAGCCGAAAAATAAAACGATGTAAGCGATAACAGAAAAACATATGCATCAAAGAACTAACTATAGAAAATAAGATCATGATAGTAGATAATTAGTCAGGACATAAGTGAAGAACCACTTGAACTGAAACACACAAATATATAATTTTAACAACCTACAGAGCTCTATCCATAAATTTTAATTTTTTGTAGGTGACATACAGCTAATTACAGGTTTTTAATTATGGTGGGAATTGATCAAGCATTATGGCAAATAAAGTCTATTAATAAGAAGAGGCGAACAAACTGGAACAAAGAAAAACGCATGATCTTTTACGCAAACTGCTTGTACACAAGTAGAGGTTGTTGGATTATCTTTTTGATCTCGGAAATATAAGACACATAAATCAACGACACAAGTTGCATGTTGTGTTTATTTTTGAAGCTATATATATATCTTACAGAGCAAAAGAGTTACTATTACTCAGAGTCGGGCACGAGCTGAGACTCGCCCAAGAGACAAACGCATTGAGTTGTCGGCTCGACTGTTCTTCGAACAATGGCCATGTGTTTGCAAACACCATCCGCTCCCAAGTCTTGATCATATCTTATGTAGACAAGAACATTCCTAAAACTCTTGAGTACGGTTTCATATGGCAGATTTTCCTCAGTCTCTAACACTACGTTCAAAATCCTTAAATCGGACATGTTGTGCTGCATGCATGCAACAACCCAAGAAGAAAGACACTTTATTATTATATATATAAACAAAGAAACGATTAATTAAAAAAAAAAAAAAGAAGAGAAAAAAAACCTACATCCAGCAACCGATCTCTACAAAAGAATGCAATTTCCATATACAAGCGAATCCAATCATGTTCTTCCCAATCTGATTCCTGCATCTGCGAAGCAAACAAACATGGTAAAATCAAATGAAAGCACATTCTTATTATACATACATTGTCATATTCATAAAAGTTATACCTACCTTGTAGAAAAATCGACCTTTATCAGCAAAAGCCTCCTTTGAAGGCCACTTCTTAGGCAACTTCTTGGCATCGAAGAACTGCTTCGGATAAAGCACACTCTTGATCCCTAGAGAGAGAGAGAGAGAGACAAGCCATTATAACATTAATCTATCATTATAAATAATAAAGAAAAAAAAAACTGTATATTTAACCTTTAGGTCTGGAGGTATAACAAGTGAAATCCATATCGCCTAAACTTCTTTGGTCAATATAAGTCTGGAAAACAACAAGGGAGGACGTAGCTGGATCCTCAGCAAGCAAAGTAATGTAATAGGAGACAGGCATGATGTTACAAACTAGATTGTATTTCTCTATTTCGTGAAGATGCAAGTTGGTCCCCTGACATGTACGAGGGAGAGACTAATAAAGATATATATATATATATATATATATATATATATATAGATGATGGTGGATACAAAAAAAAAAAGTTACCTGTAGCATATTGTAACGATGAAGTCCAACCTTGGCATAAAGCTGCGCTGTAAGGGGACAATCTGCTCCACCTTTACAAACACTCATACCACCAAAATAACAAGGAGCACCCTCGATCTCGATATCGAAGCCCTAATTATATATATATAAAACTCTCAAGGATTAGCTAGCAACTAGGAAGATTAATATATCATCAAATTCAATTCAAATAAAATAAAAGTAACTAGGAAATAAAAAATACATCTGTTTCATCAAATTTACGCCAAAAAAGCTCCTCAGCCTTACGAATGGTCTCTTCTTCTTTTCGGGCAATCTCCTCCCTCTGAGCCTTACAGCGGGCCTTGTGCTTCTTCTCCCAGCGCCGATATGAACGTGTTGGCCAACGATACTCAGCATTCTTCTCACCAGGTTTATCCATCCTCGCCAAAACTTGTTTCTCTTTTTCCCCAAAGTAAAGTGTGTCTGCTGCCATTTTATGGTTCCACAACGATAATGCCCTAATTCTCAACTGGGCCAAAATTTCATTTTCTTGGACCTCTAATTTTCAGGTTTGCTGGGCTTAGCGTTCTTTTATTCTTGTTATCTTATTCACTACTTCTCTCTATGCCAATTTGTCAATTACAAAACATCTTTCTTCCATTCTTAAAATTTCAACAACTATATATAAGTGTACTAGATGATTTCATGCGCTTTACGCAGAAAATAATTCATAAAATATATTTTATTTTCAATATATGTTCTATTACATTTATTTTAAATTTACTAACTTTTTATAATCATTTTTTTATTTTTTATTTATTTTAATTTTATAACTTGATTGTATTTAAATTAGTTTAATTTAAGTTTTTTTTTTAATTTTTTGTAAATGACAAATAATTATTTATTTTGATAATAAATTTGTAATTAATCAAAAATGTTTCAAAATTACGTTAAAAATTATAAAAAGAATATTAATTTTAACACCAATTGTTGTAAGTTATAACTGATAAAAAATATTCAACATTAATTATAATAGTTAGCGTAAATAATTTCATCATTTATATTAAATGATGCAAAAGTTAACATCAATTTTTGCACGTAACACATATTATAGTATATCAATTATTAAAGACATATCAATTAAGTCAACTAATCACTCCTTGATCTATATCATCTCTTTGCTAAAGTTTATATACTGACATTAAAGGTATAGAATTCAAATAACAAAGATCGAAAATCACAGAAGATCATCCAAATTCCAACAGAGTCTAGTGAAATATTATCAATCTTCTGATCTTTTTCTCTTCCTTGACTTGGCCTTCATCCTCGGATACACAAAGGCGCCAATGAGATGTGTTGGTTCATAAAGTGCAATTCTGGTTTTTTGCTCTCGGACTTTAACACCAGATTTAGTCTAAAGTTTAAACGCATGGAAGTTTCACTGTCCCATGTAATGATCTCAGACCATTTTCTGATCAATTAGCTCTCGATTATAAAGCCGAATAATTCACGAAATGAGCTTACAGTTAAATGATATATAGGGTTTAATGAGTTTTCATTTTAAAGACATTTCACGGAAAGAGATTAAGATAATATTTTAGATAATTTACTCGGCATTCCGACAATGAAGCTGCATGGTGAATGTTCCTGATATTGCAATTATTTCCTATACAAAATAACAATCTAGTGAATTTTAGCCTGTTTTCTCAGTAGTTTTTAGAATTCTATTGTTGAGATTTAGGAGACTTCCTATTTTTACACAAAGAAAACACACGACAGGAGAGAAAGAAAAAAATTCATCAACTAACAAAATCTGAATCTACTTTATTAAAAGAAACTCTCTTCCTATATTCCTTGGGTCACAAGAAACCCCTATAGGCCTGGGATTTGTTTTTTTTCATATTTGTTGAATTAATTTCCACAAGCTTGATGATCCCATTAGAAAAATATCTCTAGAAGCCTCTATAATGATTAGAAGAATATAATTTCGGGGATTTTTTTGGTAGAATAAGATCCTTTCTTGTCTCTCACGGAACACATTTTGAGGGGCAAATTCAAACATGTAAAAAGAAGGAAAGAGACAGAAGCAAACAAATGGACAAAGTCCAAGAACAAGCAGAGTTGATCGGAAAGAAGCTAACTCCGTTTGTAGCTTCACAACCAACAAGCAGCATCGTCGGAGGATTAAATGATCAGAAAACCACCGTTGGAGGACAATCAACTGATCAGAAAACCACCGGTGGAGGAGGATCAAATAATCAAAAAACCACCGGTAGAGGAGGATTAAAAGATCAGAAAACCACCGGTGGAGAAGGATTAAATGATCAGAAAACCACCGGTGGTTCTCAGAAAACACAACCTCCAACAACATCACCTCCTTCTCCTCCATCACCGGACAGTGGTGGCGGCGACGGTGGCTCACAATCACCTCCTCCACCGGTAGTAACCGTTTCTCCACCACCTCGGAACCAAACTCATAACACAACTTCACCTCCAACGCCTCCTTCCTCGCCTCCACCTTCTATAACTCCACCACCGTCACCTCCTAAGCCTCAACCTCCGCCTCCAGCCGGAGACTCTCCCGTGGTGACTCCTTCTCCAAACCCTCAAGTTCAACTTCCTATTCCTCCTCCCACCTTAGTTACTCAGCAACCTACTATAACCGGCTTAAAACTACCCAACAACCCTATTTTTAATCCCTCTCCGCCTTCTACTCCTTTATCTCCGCCGTCACCCGATCATCCCGGTAGCCAAGGATCTCCACCGTCATCTCCATCGCCTCCCGTTGTCTCTCTAACCCCTAATGCTCCAAGAAACCCTTCACAGCCGTTGGATTCACCACCGGCAGCAGGAGGAACAAACCATGTTCCCTCCTCGTCTTCTTCGCCGTCTCATCCTAATAATGCTGGAGGTTCTAGTAGACATAATGCGAATGGTAATAACGGAAATGGTGGTAATGTACAACAACAAAACAATGATTCTAACTACACGGAGAAGACAATGATAGGGATTGGGATCGCTGGTGTCTTGGTTATTGTATTCGTTGCTGCTATTTTCTTTGTTAGGAGGAAACAGAATAAATCTTCTTCGCCTCGGTCTAACCAGAACTATTTGCCACCGGCTAATGTCTCTGTTAATACAGGTAACAAATATACATTTGGTGTGGTTTAAAATTGGTTCTTGAAATCATGTCTTGTGTTCTTGATTCTTATTTATTCTTTTGTGTTCTAGCTTCTTGATTTTCCGTTTGGTTCTCGCTATGCCTTCTATTTTTGTTCTTGATCCTTTGTTTCATGTTAATGCTGATTGAGTTCATGTTCTTGTTTTTATTTGATTCATGAATGTTGATTTGTGTTTTTCATTGTGCTTGTTCTTGATCGTAAACATGGCAGCTTTTGGACAAAGCCGGTTGAAACATTCGTCTTGACACCTAATTTATAGAGAATTATTATACATAGGTTAAATGGTTTCGAATTATCAGTTTTTATTTATTTATTAAGATTAACCTCTAAAAATGTGTGTGGTCTCTTATATCTTAGATGCGGCCATGATACTAATTAAACTTTGTTCTTGATTCCTGATTTAGTGTTATAACTCTTGTTTTTATTTCCTTAATTATCCTAGTTCTGGTCAATCATTGATTTTTAGTTTTTTTTTTCTTACCCTAATACTAACCTAGCTTTTGGGGCAGATGGATTCGTTAACTACAGGCAAAAACCTGGAAACGGGAACATCTCGGCGCAGAACTCTTCACCAGACACTAACAACAGTTTGGGGAATCAAAAACCAGGTAGATCATCAACACCTGACTCGGCAGTATTAGGAAATTCAAAGACCCTTTTCACATTCGAGGAGCTAAGCCAAATAACAGAAGGATTTAGCAAGAGATTTGTCATTGGAGAAGGTGGCTTTGGCTACGTCTACAAGGGTATCATTTGCGAGGGCAAGCCAATCGCGATTAAGCAGCTAAAGTCCATCAGCGCAGAAGGATATAGAGAGTTCAAAGCTGAAGTAGAGATCATAAGCAGAGTGCATCATAGGCATTTAGTTTCTCTTGTGGGTTATTGCATCTCTGAGCAACATAGATTCCTTATCTATGAGTTTGTCCCCAACAATACTTTGGACCACCATTTACACAGTACTTCTTCTACAGTCTCTCTTTGTTTTTGTATTTCATTTTTGCTGAATTAGGGGTTTGAATTAAGATTTGTATTGACATTTAAATTTCTCTTACTAAGGACAATTATTTCATATGTTGTTGTCAGGCAAAGACTTACCGGTTTTGGAATGGACTAGACGAGTCAAGATTGCAGTTGGCGCAGCCAAAGGACTTGCTTATCTACATGAAGATTGTGAGTACTCTCTCCATTACATTTTTTAATCTTTATTTTCTTATTGGAATGTGAATATATATTTAGAAAATATACATAATTACGAAAGACAGTATTTGAGTTTTAAATGTTCAAGCTAGCTGATTTAGCATTTATCAATTTCATAGGTCATCCGAAGATTATCCATAGAGACATCAAATCGTCAAATATTCTATTGGATAATGATTTCGAAGCTCAGGCAAAGTCAATACTTCATTTGGTTTTTTAATCTTCTTGTTTTGTCAATAATAGAGTATTAGCATATAAAATCATTATAATTTTCTTGACCAAACATTTGATTAGTTCCATTTACAGGTTGCAGATTTTGGACTCGCCAGACTAAACGATACAGCACAGTCCCACATATCGACACGAGTCATGGGCACATTTGGGTACTGTTATGTCCTCCTTTTTCAATCCTCATGTATAAGATAAGTTAATGAAAAAAACGTTACGTTGCATGCATGCAGGTATTTAGCGCCAGAATATGCATCAAGCGGGAAGTTAACGGATAGATCAGATGTGTTTTCATTTGGAGTTGTGCTACTAGAACTCATCACCGGTCGCAAACCTGTTGACACCTCTCAACCTATGGGTGAAGAAAGTCTCGTTGAATGGGTATTTTAAAAAAATGTTTTTCTTACCTATCATATAAAAATTTGATTTTCAAAATACAAATAATGAAATTTGAGTGGCTTGGAAGGCACGTCCGCGGCTAATCGAGGCCATTGAAAAAGGTGACATCAGCGAAGTAGTGGATCCACGGCTTGAAATGCATTACATTGAAGGAGAAGTCTATAGGATGATTGAAACTGCTGCGTCTTGTGTTAGACATTCAGCTCTAAAACGGCCGCGTATGGTTCAGGTGATCAGAGTTATACTCAATCGTGGTGACTCGACATAATGATGGAAAGAACCCTCTAACTGATGCTGATTGTTTCTCACATTTACAAAACAGGTTGTGAGAGCTTTGGACACGAGAGACGACATGTCGGATCTGTCAAATGGAGTAAAAGTAGGTCAAAGTACGGTCTATAACTCTGGTCAATACAGTACTGAGATTCGTATGTTCAGAAGAGCATCTGAAGATTCAACGGATTACGGTACTAGTAATGGTTACTACACGAGCCAAGACTTCACAAGTCGTGAATCCGAAAGAGCCTTCAACACAAGTCACCGACCAAACTACTAAATCAATTCGCCGGAAAATTAATTAAAAGGAAATTGAGTTTGTTTGTTTTCTTGGGTTATTTTGGAATGAACCCTTTAGAAAATTTTGTGAAGGTCGGTCTTAACGAGCTCAAAATATAAAATACAATGAAAGATGTATAGTTTCAAATGTAAATTTTGTCTCCAAAAAGCTTATGAGAATCAAATCTCAACGAGTACACGTGTTTTTTTTTAACATTCGGTTAATGTCTTAAACACTTACTTTGTCATTCTCCTACATTTAACATGTTAATTTGTCAACGTTGATTCAATAAGTGTCCGGTTTGTTCTTTAATTTTATCAGATAATTTTAATCAACCGGGTACGCTTTCCTATCGTTGACTAATCAAAAACTATAGGGTGTAATTAAAGAATAGTCAAAAGTTATAGGATCAATCTCAATTCTCAACAAAATATAAGACTGGGGTTGTATTCAAGATTTTCTTAGGACACGACACGTGTCCAGGTCACGGGATCAACGGTTAATATTAATATACGAGTTTTAAGACATAAAAACATCGCCGCGTCTTTGTGTTCATCGCCTCTAACAGATCTAATCGCTAAAGTGAGTCTCGTCTCTTCTGCCCAAAAACGAAACCGTAAGTGAATCGAATCATCTTTTGTTTCGATTCAATTCTCTTATCTCCTCGATTCGTAGATTCCATGAATTTCAGTAGTAAAAAAAATTACATTTTTGCGTATAATTTAGCTTTGATCATCGCTCTTGTATGGACATTGATGTTTACGAATCATTTTGGATGTGTTGGGGATTGAAAAATGGAATCTTTTTGTTATCTCGGAGATTAAAGTCTCTATCTTTATCAATGTAACTCGTCTTGTTAAGCTGATCTGATTAATCAAATTCAAAGTTTATGTTTTTTTTATTGTGAATTGAGTTATTATTATCAGTGCTGGTCTGAAGAAAGTTTAATTCTTTTTTATGGGTTTTGTAACAGAGAAAATGGCTGAGGCATCACCTGCTTTGAGGAAGCCAGTGTTCACCAAGGTCAGTGAGCTGAGACCAGGAACCAATGGTTTCACACTTAACGTGAAAGTTATCAGCACGAAGATGGTGATGCAGAGAGGAGGTGGAGGTCGTCCCACTGGTCCTCAGGCTCGTCAGATGCGTATTGCTGAATGTCTTGTTGGTGATGAGACTGGTATCATTATCTTTACCGCAAGAAACGATCAAGGTGAGATTACATTAACATTTATATACTCAAAATTCATATAATAATCTTCTTAGTAGATTTCTGATTTACTTTTGGGAACAGTGGATTTGATGAAAGAAGGAAAGATAGTGACTCTGCGTAATGCAAAGATTGACATGTACAAGGGATCTATGAGGCTTGCTGTTGATAGATGGGGCCGTGTTGAAGTCGCTGAGGATTCCACAGACATTACTGTCAAGGAAGATAACAATCTTTCGCTCATTGAGTATGAGCTTGTGAGCGTCGAAGCTTAATTTGGTTCTCAGCCTTTCCACCAAAAGAAAAGCAGTAAAGACCCATTCTCTAGTTGGAGAAGTAGTAACCTCTCTCTCTCTCTCTCTCTGCTTTGAGTTTTTGCTTATCCGATGTACCATTCTCGTTTTCATAATCAGCTTTATGGTTTTCTTTATGTTTTTTTTGTAGATTGAATCTTTCTTTGTAAGTCATGGGATCATTTTCTTGTTTAGTTTTCGTTTCTTTGTGGTTTCCTTGGACACGCTAAAGCAAAAGAAAACTTACACAATAGTTGTCACCAAGAAGAATACAAAAGCAAGAATCAGTTTTAATTTAAACTTCACTCTTTTGAACGATCTTGTCTCTACTAATTAAGCTTTTGTGGAGAAATCTTGTCTCCTCTAAGCTAACATAATATTGTGTATACATCTTTATGTATATCAAAAACTTCACCCCTTAATATTTGTTCCAAGAGTATTTAGTTTTCAAAATCTCTCAATATCATGATATTTTAATAAAATGTTCAAGGACACATGGGGCGGCCGTTGGAGTTTTTCATATCTCGGTAACAAGGACATTGGTCTTTGTTTGGAAAATTGTCATAGGGAACACAACTATTACACTTCTCACAACATATAATGCAACCCTTGATGCACGCTTCATGTTGTGGTGCCTTTGAGCATCTCACGTTGCACTTTTCACCACATGCTGTGAATTCATTCATTCATCATCACACATAAAAAATCTTATGTTATAATTTTAGACGAAGTAGATCAGTAAATGATACGTTAACTAAAACAATTTAATTAAAGCCAAATTACACTTACACAAATCAGCGGTTGAAGGTTCAAAAAATGAAGATGTGAGAAGAAGAAAGATTATGCAGAATTGTACGACCACAAGCTTCATCTTCGTTCTTTGTTAAGATGAGAAAAGAAAAAATCAAAAGATTAAGGGCTGGTGATTTGGGAGAGGGTGAGACTGTGGCTGCAAGGGGGAGGGTTACTTATAGTGAGATGTGCTGGGCCTGAGGGCTTACATGTTAAACATTGGTATGGGGCCTATAAATTTGTGGGCTCATAATCAAAAAATAAACAATTTTTTGTATTTTTCAATTTTTTTTACCTTTTTATTAAAGATATTAATACATTAGAGTAAAAAATATTATGTAAGAAAAACAAACATTAAATTTTGTAACATCTATATGTATAAAAAATATAAAAATTTGTGGGCTCATAATTAAAAAATAAACAATTTTTTTTGTATTTTTCAATTTTTTGACCTTTTTATTAAAAATATTAATACATTAGAGTAAAAAATATTATGTAAGAAAAACAAACATATTAAATTTTGTAACATCTATATGTATAATTTATATATATATATAGATATATTTCAATTGGTTATTTTCTTAACAAAATCTATAAATATTATATTAAATCTAGCCTTAATTTATATTATGTTTCTAGCCTTAATATTTTCTCAAATTACTAGCGGTTTCGGATGATATTAATTTTGCCCGGACAAACCAATCTGATTAGTGATATACCATGATGATGAAAGACCAAATTCAAAATCCATGACTTGTATAAATAGCTAGTTTCATGTAGTGGTATTCAAACATTTGAAGAAATCCAAAACTGTGGAAAATGCACTAAGAATAATATTAGCACTTATGTGTCTAAGAATAATATTAACAGTCGTTATTACTTAAGTATCATTCTTCGATTTTTTGGGTCTCTTTCAATCGGTCATAGAAATAACTTTCTTTTCTCATTAGTAACATTGCACACGGTATTCATTTTTCTGTTAACATATGCATTGATTTATCATATCTTCTGAGTTCTGACTAAATACACAATGGTTTCTACATGAATTTACAAGCTAATACACTGTCGAGCAATTCACTCCACAGAAACCTAGAGTCAGTGGCGGACACAGAACTAATTTTTACTGGGGTCATAAAAATAGGCTTTAACCCAATGTAATATATAACATAAAATAATGTCCGAAAACTGGGGTCAAGGAGAATCGAAGCCGCGTTTTTGGGGTGTCAAAGAAAGGTTTTCTAACCAAATGCACTGAAAATTCTTTACTATCATCTGTAATAATTCAAATATTTATAATTTTACCGGTGTCAGGTGACCCCATTCCCTTGAACGTGGGTCCGCATCTGCCTAGAGTTAAATAGTTTCCCGAAAAATGTTTGTACACATGTAAAACTGAATTTATGGATACTATAGCTAGTGAGTACTAAATACATAAAAGTCTTGGGCGGCCGGATGGGTACTGTGTGGAGTTTATTCGCACCTCGTGACCTCGTCATGGTCTGAAGAAAGTGAAGCTTAAGGGAAAAAACATGTGCAAAATCAATAAGCCTAAAACCGGCACTTAGCGAATGAAATGGTCAGACGACTAGACCAAAGATATACAAATGAGGAAAAGACGAATTACAAATGAGTTTCGTTTGTTTCTTTGCGGCCAACATGTTTTCCATCAGCTTTTAAATGCTTTTATTAATTGAACATGGAATTGATTTGTCGTGGTCCCTTTCTATTCATAGTACTTTTGTAAGGAACCTTTTGTCTATGATCTCGTCTGACTAATTATGCCATTGAAATGGTCTTCGATAAGAATTTTCTACAAGCCTGCTATACTTTCCAGTATTTGATCACTGGCTCAAAGCTTATTGTTTAAGTACTCCGATTTAAAAAAATATTTCCATTAAAATTAGAACCTCTGAACAATGTAGCTAAGAGCACGATTATCCGGGGTTTTTAGGAGTTACTTAGGGGGGACCTACAAAGTTTTTTAAAAATGATTACCAAAAGTGTGAGTTAAGGATCGATTTTGTTGGGTTTTTTGTATTTTTCGCGGGATTCATCAACACGTAGTGTTCCACCAATACGTAACGGTCCGATTGATGCACTTTTTAATTTATTTTTTTACTCAGATAAAAAAAAATTAGTTAAGAAATCCTTAATGGATTTTAGGGATAATGATGGTCTAAGGTCCTAGAAATGTATCCGACTATACCCATTAACCTTGTTCTTTTGGTAAATATATATGATATTTTCGTAAATAGCATCTCTAAGACTGAAAATTACTAAATAAAAAATTTATTAGATAGAAAAGATTAAGCACAATGTTTAGTAGTGTGTAAGCTTACGGACGCAACCACAAAAGCCATGACTTTCTTTGGGGAAACATCACTTTCCTTTAAATTACGCAGCTCTTTCTATCAACATTGAGAATTTTGACTCTTGACTCTTTTTTATATATAGTGATGAGATGGATTACAAAAGAGAGAAACATAGTAACACAATTTTTTTTTTTAACTATAGAAACATAGTAACTTAAAGCTTAGAAGAAAACAGAAAAAAAATGGAGAGGGAGAGTGGAAAAGAAGTAGGAGAAGGAAGCTCAATGTCGCCAAGGGAACAACGAAACCTTAAAGAGAAAGAGCGACGAATGCGCATGAAACATCTCTTTGATGTACTCTCTTCTCATGTTTCTCCCACTCAAAGGGTTCGTATCTAATGTGTCAACAAACGTAACTACATGTACATATAATTAACTTGGGACTTTTTTTACTGGCTTCCAACAGTTACCGGTGCCTCAACTTATAGATCAAGCGACATCATACATGATCCAATTGAAAGAGAAGGTAAATTATCTGAGGGAGAAGAAAGTGACTTTGTTAGGAGAAATGGGGAAACACTCGTCGTCTCCTCTGCCGAGACTCAGTATTTATTCGCGGGATTCAACCATACAAATGAACCTAACTATGGATCTGAACATGAAAAGAGTGATGCTACACCAGCTTTTACGTGTTTTTGAAGAAGAAGGAGCTGAAGTTATGAATGCTAATGTTCAGAAACTGAATGATAGGATGATCATTTATACAATCATAGCCCAGGTATGCATTGACCGTATGTGTATAAAGTACACACACGCGCATGCATGTTTCGTGTCACGTCTTTTTAATATCACTACAAGAAACAGCATCACATACCGACAGCAATTTTTGTCGGGAAATCATTGGAACAAGCTCTAACCGATGGGTTTCCGAGAAAATGCAATTAGTCGGGGTTTGGGCCTCGGAAAAGGAGTATTGTCGGAACTGCGTCGAAAGTTACCAACGAGATATCTTCTCGGAAAGACTTGTCGGAATTGTTTGTCGGAAAGTACCGAGGCAGTTTCGATGAAATCTGAGTCACAAAATCATCGGAGCAAGCTTGGAAGTTGGTCGGGATTATTTGTCGGAAGTTGATCAGTATTTACAGAGGCCTTTCCGATGATATATTTTGTTGATTATAGTGATGAGAAATCGGTGCTACAGTTTTTCCGGTGAAACCACTTTATATTTCTGGAAAATTGTTTGAAGACCACCGTGATAAATAAAATATGCTTTTTGGAATTTTAATAGATAACAGAGGAACAAACATACACCATTTGATTATTAAAAATATATATGATACATAATGTTTACAAGATAAATACAAAGATAAATATCCTAAATAACTTACCAAATTAAAATACTAAAAAGGATAAATGTAGAAAGTAGAAACACTAAAACAAAATATTAAATAAATATCTCAAGACTATCTTCTCAATCGTCATCTTCCCAGAATCTTCTGTAAACATCTTCTTTATCACCTTTTGAATGCTCAAATGACTTTTTAGAGTCTTTAGCCTCATCCAATCTCAATTGTAAATCGATTTGCTGCAGACACTAATTATACTGTATGTTCCAAATTTTCTCTACTTCAGATCTACACATGAACACTTATATAACCAAGGTTCAGACAAACCATTGTCGGTTTTGCTTGAAAGCGTCACATGTACGCTTCAAAAAGCGACAAATCTTTGTCAAATCTTCCGAGAATAATTTCTCATCGGTAATTTCCGAGAGAGATCTCCGACAATATATCGTCCAATTTTCTGAAGCCATACCGAGAAGACAATTGATTGTGGGAAATTTGATTGTCCCGTGAAATTAATGACGACCATTTCTGAGAAACTTCCTACAAAACTTGTTCCTCAGAATTCTTTTTGGTTTCCGACGAAGTTCGGACTACACATCCTGAGACGATACCGAGAAAACAAATGCATCAGAAAGTTCCAACATGATTCCGACAAAATTCATATGTCATCGGAATATTATCACAAAGATGTCATTATTTTTCCTACAAAACAAGTTCTCGGTAAATTTCATCGGAGGGGGCATTGTTTTCTTGTAGTGTATAGTTTTGAATTCATTTGATATTTTGCATGTACGTGATCACCTAAATGAATTTTTGCAGGCTATCATAACTCGCATCGGCATTGATCCATCAAGGATAGAAGAGAGAGTTAGGGATATCATCTTTTGATACAAAATTGAAGTATTATTATATCCCCAATCATTAGTCAACGCTAGTGTTTATACCCCTTCCGTTTCATATTAAGTGTCGTCGTAGAAAAAAAATTCGTTACAAAATAAGTGTCGTTTTTCGGTTTTCAATACAAAATTTATTAATTTTATTATGTAATTTGTTTTTCTGTTGGTTAAAATATGGTTAGGTGTATACGTAATTGTGTTTTTATGTGCGCAAAATCTAAAATGACACTTATAATGAAACAGAGGGAGTATATGCAATATTTTTAGGGTGTTTTTTAATGAATATACAAGTTGTTTAAACATGATATTATCATACTTAATGTTGTTTTTGAGTGTGAAAAAATAATTGTTTTGAATTTGCTTTTGTAAGCATGCATAAATGAATAAGAAAAAGTTTCTTGGTTAATAATAGTTACTTCAAATCAATGCGTATATTCATTTGAGTACATTTTTGGTATGATTTATTTGAGTACTTTGGATATATACAAAACAGTTAAAAAAACAAAAAATACTACACCATGATGTTTAAGCATACATATATACACTTTGAAAAAAACATGAAAATGTTTTTAAAAAAATTATCAGCGTAACTCTTCATTTATATGTGTTTTGTATATGTATGTTTCATGAAGAATACGACCATAATATTAGGCCATGTTATTCAAATGATCTCAATGTTAACCAGACAAAATAAACTGGATCACACTCAAATTTCTTTTGAAATCTTTCACATTTTCCGGCTCAAAAGATCTTTAACTGAAATCAAACTCAAAAACATTTTTTGGTAAAGAAATAAGACTCGGTTGGAAACTGCAAGAGGTGACCAAGCGACATGTTCGGTTTTAATTTAAATTTAACATTTTTATGAACTAGAGAAAATGTTATATAAGGAAAAAGCACAAAAAAAAACGCAGGTTGGATTAACTAGTTACTAGTGGAGTACTGGAGTTGCATCAAGAAGTATGGTGTATATGTTTGGGATAATATATTAACTTCATGTGTGAAAAAGCTATCAAAACGTGTTTCAACTTCAACAGATGCATAGTGGTTGCGGGTGTAAATGATTGTAGCAAATACTTGAGTTTTGGTTTGAGTAGCCTTGCATTTAGGATGCATCTTTATATCTTTTGGAATCAAATATCTTATAATCATATTTTCTTGCTAGTAGTCTCATATTAGGAGATAAAGGTAGATAATCAGCTTCTGATGGATCCATTAGTACAAAAACACCTCCAGCACGATGTTTCACTATTGAGGGTCATGATTCTGCATCTTTTGGATACAGAACCCTCCATTTGAGTTTCGCTTGCCTTTGTTTTTAGAGCCTACAGTGTTGTAGGCTTGTAGCACTCTTGGTTTAATGGATTGTGTAGAGGGACACGACCAATACAACTACAAATGCTCGACTGTAGCGCTGTAATGATAGCTTTTATTCGGACTTAAAGTTTCACAGAATGATCTATGTTATTTGCACCGTTGCAGCAATGTGTAGGCTTTTATTAGGATTCGTTATTTTAAACGTTCACGTATTCAATTAGTTCAAGTGTTGATATGTGCAAACATTTATACACGATACAGAGATTTTTTTTCTCCCAACATGAACCTAGTTTATCAGGTGCCTTATGTGAATGTTTCGGTTCAAACCGGTTTGATTTATTCAGATTACTAGCCAACGTGTATCCCTAAAGGGTTAGTGAATAATTAGTGAATGGAATCAGCATGAAATATCAGTAATTATTTCCAAATAGTGAGATTTAGTAATCTTTATATATAATATAAAGATATAGAGGTGATTGTGTTGTGTGTTGTGAAGTTAGTTAGGGTGACATGATCAAGATGAGAGGATACGTAATATTGTCCACCGAATTTAAACTATTATTAAAAACGATGATAATAAAAATAAAATCAAGAAGAAAACAATAATAATAAGACACTGACATACTCCCTCCGTTTTATAATAAGTGTCGTTGTAGAGAAAATTTTTCGTCACAAAATAAGTGTCATTTTCGATTTTCAAGGCAAAATTTATTAACTTTATTATGTAATTTATTTTTCTATTGGTTGAAATATGGTTAGGTGTATGGGTAATTGTAATTTTATATAGAAAATATGCAAAATTAATTGTTTCCTTAATCCGTGTGCACGAGCTTAGAGTGACACTTATTTTGAAACAGAGGGAGTATAAAATATCAGTTAATAGATGTTAAGACTGCAGATTTGATTGGTTGGTTAAGGTTTGATATGAACCATCTGTAGTTTGCCAGCTTGAATGTCGCTGTAATGAATTGCATACCAACTTGTTTATGTTTACATCATAATCTCTCTTGTCATTTCTCCTCCTTTCCTTTTTTTTTCCTCCCCTCTTCTTTTTTTAAATTTAATTTTATGTATTTAACACAACTGAATGAAACTGTTTAATATTATACCAATAGGACCATACAAAACAAAACAGTTTTAATTAATATATACATTTTTATACCACTTATATATTTCTTTTTAATCATTGTCAATTTATTTAATTTCCATACTATATTGCCAAATAATTCCAATGTTATATTCGGTGTGTTAACTGTTGAGATGGTCTAATGCAGTTTCATAAAAAGAATCAACAAAGATAAAGAAAGAGAGAAATGAAAAGATATGATTTACACAGGTAAGGCAACAAAGGCAAAAGAGGAAAGGAGAAGTCAAAGCATGGTATAGCTATACATAATAGTGAGGTTTAATCAAATAAACCAACCGATTAGCAAAAACTTTATTGTATCAAATCAGAACTGCATTCTAATTATAGTGAGTTCCCACATGCATATGTTTCCTTCACAAATTGATAGAAAATATTTATTAGCCAGACATGTGCATATATTAATTCAATGTTTTCATTCTGTCATTATGGTCCTATAATGAGGATCTTGAATATATACAGGCGATCAATGCGAAATAGACAAATAGAATTCATATGTTGTGATGAAAAAACATTGAGTATTGACTCAAATGCAAATATATAAACTATATGACTATGTAATATGTGTATTACACTATTTTGGTGTCACAAATAGTGAATATGATAAACGAACAAAAAAAACAAATTTATTAATGAATTGGGTTTTTCACAAAGCCAATATGTTTACGTGAATACTTTTTGTAAAGATGTTTCTAACTTTTTATGTGTTAAGACATTTATATACGAACATTCTCAGTAACAAAGACAACAAGTCAATGATGGTGGATTCTGTTCTTATGAAAATCAAAGCAAAAGTGCCAGCTTATGAACAACCCACTTTTCCAAATACCCAATTTACCCCTCCCACAACACCTCTATATATTCACAAACGCAGTTTCCACATAACATAACACACATTAATAATCATAGTTTCAGAGAGAAGCAAACATGGCGTCTTTGAAGAACTATAACATGAAGATTCTGTTGGAAACAGCAGTTATGTTTTGTCTTTGTTCATTTTCTTTGGTTTCTTCACACAGCAGAAAATTCACAACACCAAACGTGACACGTCTAACAGATCAGTTCAGTAGAATCGCCATCGAAAGCGGCTTCTCCAAACGTTTTGGCGATCACAATATTATCGTCAATGGCTCTCTCGCCAAACTCACACTCGACAAATCCTCTGGTAATTAGTAACACTCTATATACACTTCTGTTCTGTTTCGTGTCCTCTTGTCTTTGTATACTCTGTTTTTCCTTTTA